ACGCCGTCGATGCTAATGCATTACTAGATGACGAAACTCCTCAGCACACGTACGAAGTGCCGCACATGGGAAACACATAGGCAGAAATGGCCGACGCGCCATGCCGACGCACGTAGGGGGCGGCCATTTTGGATTTGCCGATGGCAATAGATTAACCGTAATTTTTTTGTTCGTACTCGATTCTAACGCGCATGCGATTTATGAACTCGCTTAACCGGAAAAAAGGTGCATGTTAGATTTGAGTAATTACGGTAACTCCCCTCCTACTGGACGGATTCTTAAAATTTTGCGGCGTTGAATTTGTGAGGCAATACACTTTTCCAGTGAATCAATTCCATGGTTACTCAAGAAAATGTTTCAGGGCCCCTTTAACACCAACATCTGTCGTGGTGCCGTTTGACATAGTATCTTCAAAAACGAGTTTTGAGTGCTTCCAAACCAGTAAGGTCCTTTTTCTTGGAAGAGATGATGGCATACGACATAATAATTTAAAAATTCGCTGGAATGGTGGGGGAGATGAAGGCACTCCCTTACATAATTCACGCCTCCGATTAATTAAAATCACTCCATTGTTCAAAAATGGCAACAAAGCATCCCCATATAACTACCGGCCCATATCGCTTACAAGTGTCCCATCCAAAATTATGGAGCACATTTTATTTACCAACATCATTAATCACCTCGAACAGCATAACTTCATTCACCCTTCCCAACATGGTTTTCGTAAAGGCCTGTCGTGCGAAACACAACTTGCTGCCTTCATCCATGACTTGCACACAAATCTTGACCGGAACATCCAAACTGACGCCATATTTCTTGACTTTGAAAAGGCTTTCGATAAAGTTCCTCACCACCGCCTTATGACCAAACTTTCTTTGCTTAACCTCGACCCATTCGTCTTGTCCTGGATTAATAACTTTCTCACTGACAGAAAACAGTTCGTCGTCATAAATACAGCCAGGTCTCAAATCTCTCCTGTCCTCTCCGGTGTTCCCCAGGGAACAGTACTTGGCCCCCTGCTTTTCCTGATTTACATCAACGACCTTCCACACTGTATTACTAACAATATAAGATTATTCGCCGACGATTGCGTTATTTACGCAACAATCTCTAGTCATGAAGACCAAATAGCTTTACAAACAGACCTAACAGCCGTTCAAAATTGGTGCCACAAGTGGCAGATGAGTTTAAACATTTCCAAATGTAGATCAGTGTCTTTTCACAGACGTGCTAATCCGTTAGTGTACAACTACACCCTACATAACAGTTTTCTACAACTGACTAGCTCGTATAAATACCTTGGAATGCATATCTCAAGTGATCTGTCATGGACCCTCCACATCAATCACGTCATTTCAACAGCTCGTAGATCTTTAGGTTATATCCAAAGAACCCTGAAGTTTGCTCCCAGCCACTTAAAAAAATTAGCTTTCATCACAATAATACGCCCCAAACTGGAGTACGCCGCAGCAATTTGGGACCCACACCAGCATTATCTCATCCAAAACCTAGAAGCCATCCAAAACCGCGCTGCCAGATTCGCCTTTTCCGATTACTCATCGTTCACCAGTGTAACAGACTTAAAGAAACGTGCCACATTCATTCCCCTTAGTCTACGCCGAAAAACTGCGCGGCTCGCATTATTCCACAAATTCTATCACGCATCCCCATCCAGCATTTACGTCACCCAACGCCCCCATTTCTCTGATCGTTGTTGCAACACTATGCAAGTACATTACCCTCGTCCCAAAACTACCACATTTGCAGAATCTTTCTTCATTCGGACAGCTAAGGAATGGAACGCCCTACCGGAAACCATTGTTAGCATTCAGGATGCAGAAGCCTTTAAAAATTCCCTGACAACCATCACTGAACTGTAATAGCTAACTGAACTGTGACCTACCATGCTATTTCTTGTATAATGGTTTCTAGTGTCATCTCCCTAGTATGGCATGTATGTATATTTTATGTACTTGGCAATGTTTCGAAACCTTTTAAGTGGTACCTTTTGTCACTGAAAAATGTTTTCATCCAGAGTCCTCAAACAAATGTACCTGTTACCGCCCCCCCCCCCTCTTCTTGTATGCCCACCCCTCATGTAATGTCGCTTCTGTTAGGGACCCTTGAGGAAAATAAAATAAATAAATAAATAAAATAAATAAATAAATACATATTGGTATGGTATATGAACGACACTGCTTTGGATACCTGTGAGTAGACGCGAGTATAAACGTGAATCCAGGTAGTGCGGATAGTAATGCTGAAGATGACTAGATAGATCCTTAGGTCGGCAAAAGGAAGTGAAGCTCACTCGGACTCAGACTCACTAAAGTTTTCCTGGGCCGATCTCACTCAGAACCACACTCACAAAAATTTTCTTCAATCGGACTCGCCAAAATTTTACTCACCCGGCCGCACTCAGACTCACACTCACAGCTCGATCTGAGTCTGAGTGAGTCCACTGATGACTCAGTTCACCGCCCTATGGTGTACAGCATGCACCTCTTGCTGCAACTTGAGTTTCCATTAGGCAGCTACAAGTGCGGCCAAATGAAGAGTTTCATCTTGCATACACGGACTGCTGCCTTCATCAACATCATGACCCCATGACAATATACCTACTGCGGGAGCTAATTAAGAATGGCATTCCGACGCACACACAAAAAAGAGGGTAAACTAGCATTTCACTAATATGGAAGTTTAAAAACTAGATCCAAATGAATAAAAAGTTTAAAAGCTATTGTAGCAAATTTCAAGGTGGTCAATCTAGTTATGCTGGGAAAACTGTAGACTCATGAAATATGTGCTGGCCAGCGTATTTATTATTTGAAGATTATTCGAACCTTGGTTGTGTGCCAAGCAGGCTCACACTAAATATAGCAACCAATTTTGCTGATGTGATATATCAACCATGACATGCTGCCAGGGCAGTCAGTCTCAGTGCCTATAACGATGCCCAAAAGTCCGTAACACTAAGCAGGCTGAAATAGAGGAATGTACTAGCCTAATTTCAACCCTTGCCACAAGTAACTAAAGCTACAAAAAATGTGCAGGTCACCAGACATGGCAGTAACTTCAGTCATTTCATTTATCAATAACCACAGATGCTGTTATTACAAGCACTGCAGATCAGCAGCCCGGACAACATGAATGCATACAGATTCAACATCTTGTGAACTAAAAAAAATGCACTGGAACCTGCTAAATGAAAAAAGCACACATTTCAAGCCCTTATTACATTCAACCATTTCATCTTACTTTATATACTAAATGATGTGCAGGGATGCAACAGCCTCAATAGAATTCGGAGCAATTTTCAGAGCACCAGAACCCACTTTTGGAGCGGGTTACGGAGAAAAACCTTAAGTTTTTATCACGAAAGCCTAAATAAAAATGAAGACTTGCATTTTAAAAACGAAATGCACAAAGGATTCAACATTTTCTAAATTATCTAAGTGAATATGAGCACTGCTATTTCAATAAAAGTAGTATCTTGAAACACCCCCCTAGGCAAACAATGATGAGGTCCACATAACCATTTGCCACGCCTGTCAAATCTTTTCACAACCTCTGAGGACTCAAATGTGGATCTGCCAAGCTGCCGATCTTGAGATTCGAGAGATTAGTAAATTTGAAAAGTAGGGACAGCAAAAAAAAAAAGCTGGTGCTTAATTTTGTTTTATTTCTTTAGGGCTGCAGATGTGTCATACAGTGCTCCAAATAATTGCCAGTAACTTTTTTAGACATCAGCAGTCCTATTAGTAATTACAATTTGTCAGCGTACACTCGCATGAGCAACTCGGCAAACTGTGCTGTGTTCAGCGAATAATGCTAACAGCACCTATGAAACCTTAAAATGCTTTTCCGCAGACCACTCGTGTACTGCGGCAAAGGTGGCTTAACGTGTAGCAATTGAGGCGAAGAAATTTTTCAAACAGCTACCCCCCCCCCCTTTTTTTTTTCACAATGAGTTTAGGTTCAGGGCATAACTTGTCGGCTCGCTTGCAAGGCGTGTTTGACTTAAGTAATAACGGTGTGCACCCATTGGCCTGGCAACAGCACCAGATATCTATCGCATGTGCCATTGCTATGGCAACTAACATGGTGCCCGGCAACCACAGCGTTCACATCAAATCGAGTTTGCTCGCATGCAGTAACAGTGAGATACACTTCCAGCTTTAGTTCCTCAACATGCCATTACCGCATTTGCCAACTAAGAAATTCATATTTCCCGCGAAGTGTAGCTGAATACGGCAACGCATTTTTGTTTTGAAGTTGCGTCGTCCCGCCGGTAGAGATTCGCTACGGTCAGCGGACTGATGGACATAGTTACTTCGTCTGGCCGATCACATTTCGAAAGTATGGTTTGTGCCCTTGGAACCTTGCATTTATGATGCAAACTGCAGGTGGCCAACGTGGACTGCATTTCTTAACGATACTAATACAACTCAGAAAAGTTTGAGGCTAGTCGGGCATTTTGGCACAGTGTGGCCTAATTTCGACAAACTTCAGGGTTTTGGCACAGCTCCGTGCATTAATAGACAACAAATCAGCACAATTGGCCCAGCTGTTGCACCCCTGTAAGTGGAAACTTGTATAGCACTATATATTTCTTTAATTAATGCACTGTTTCACATTTCTAACATATTTTGTTTGCTCAAACAAACCATGCACTACATAATTGCTATGTAGTAATTTCGATGTACATATATCTTTACGTTTATTGGCTACTCTGCTGCATATTGGAAGTACAAATGTTAAGAAGAAATGTAGAACTAGAGATGTTTAGATGCATGGTACACTGTTTTTGGCTGTTCAGAATTGAGGCAAGGACCTTGTCAAGCTCCTAGATGAAGCTTTTTGTATTTGTGTTCATTATAATGCTGCAATTGATTGATTGAATTACATCTCTAACAATCAAGAATGCAACACTGCAGTCATCAAAGACATCCGAGCAATACTTTCACTTTCACTGTCTTTGTGCAAGCAAGGTAACTCACCAGCCTGATATGCCACCTATTGTAAGCTGCTTTGCAGGGGAAGCTTTTGTAGCGTCCTTGAAGAAGCTCATAGGCCAAGACTCTCCCCTAGAACCTGCGAGGCGAATTCCCATCGTGACTTTCGCATCCATGCAGCAGCATTACAGGTGTCAGGATAACTCCATAATTATTAGTGACAAATGTAACTCGCAGGTTACACGAAAACCAAAATAGGCGGAAAACTAACGGACTGGGCGGGACACGTCATTGGCAAAAGGATGACACAGAAAAACAAATATTATATGAAATGCAAGAAGGGTGCTGTGACAATCTCTCAGCTTGGGAAATACTGAAATGCTAGTGTTGTACAGTTAAAAGTTATCGTGGCCTTGTCATGCCCCCAACAGTGCATCACTATTGCCAAAAATTTGTGTTGGGTGGGCTTGCTTATGCTGTGTGGGAATATTAAGTTGACCACCGGCCTCTCCAATAGCATTAACTGCTCCATTGAATCTATGCTTAAAAAACTATTATAACACTAAAGTAAGCTTGCGGAGTACATAACAGCGCTTAGAAAACAACAGGCTTAGATAATAAAAAAACTCGTGGCTGATCTTGGAACCAGATTTTCTGAGCTAAAAAAAACATTTAGCGGGTCCACGAGCTTGAGCAAAATGTAAAATCTCTTGAAGTGAAATTGACTGATCTAGAGAATGGGAGTAGATTTTCAAATATAACGGTCTTCAGTATTCCTGAAGACCGAGATGAAACTAGTCAATCCTAAAGAGTGAATTTCTCTATGAAATTTTCGCTACAAAAGTTGACATTAATTGTGAATCCGCTGGTAGGAATCATCACCTTAGTAGGCCGGGCAAACAAAGACCAGTCATAATTTATTATGATTTTAATGAATTTATTAAGATCCAGAATTACAATGAAAAGCAGTTAATATTGAAAAATGCTTATAAATTTGAAGGCTCCAAAATATCAGTCTAGAATGACTACTCACAAATCACACAAACCAAGCGAAGACTCCTATAGAAGAGTGCAAGGGCTGAGAAGAAGCAGGCAAAGAAAGCTTAATCAATGACGAACCGTGGTTGGGTAATAAGCTCTTAATTTGAAATGATCAGAAAAACCCAAGAAAGCAAATCAATGATGATCAAGGTACTTCAAAGAATGACTGACACACTTCACTTCCAGCTAAAAAATTGCGTGTTCTAAACATAAATGCTCGCAGCATTGTTAAGAAATCTGAGAATCTTGAATCGGTTATATTGAGTTACAGTCTTCATGTAGTAGTGTTGACTCTAACGCGGCTGCACGATGATATTGATGGCACAGTAGTTCACCCTCTGTCTTATCGTCTCAAGTGATCTTCTAGGGGTGGCGGGGTCACAGTTTTGGTTAAGAAAAACTTGAGTGCAGTGCTTTTACGTCAGGCCACTAACTTAAAATTTGTTTCGTTGCAACTTTCTTGTTGGGATAAATCATTTTTATTGTTTGCCATTTATATAGACCCTAACTCGTCTGTACAATACCTTAGTGATCTTTCTGAACATAATGCATCCTTTACAAATAATAATGCGTTGCTTATAGGTGTGTGGCAGCAGGACACAACGCTGCTTCTGCACCTGCGCACAACGTCGACGCTACTAACCTGAGCTCTGTTATGATAAGAATACTATGCTACAACAAAAAACAAACTGCCTGTGCTCCCGCAAGCTGATCAGCAATCGTTGCTATATCTTTCATGTGGACGCATAAAAGTTATATGTACCCACATCAGGCGACCCAAAAAACTAACTTACCGCACTGTCATGGCCAACCAGGTAGCCCTCGCCGCTCTTTGCCAAAAAGTACAATAACTTCAATAGCAACTTCAGGCCTAACAACAAGCTTTCAAAAAACAAGAGCAGCAACTCCACAACAACGCACCCAAAATAAACCACACTCATCTGACAAATTTGCACAGCTGCGCTTGGGACCCGCCCTCCGAAGCTCTGCTCCAGTGGACGCTACTACTCCTGTGGCCATTGTCGACACGGACGTCTATCGCATCGCCGTCAAGCCCGAAAATGCCAACCACCCTGCTGAGTTGGATGTCAGGGAAACTTCAACATCAGCCCATAGAGACAGCTGCAAGCTGCTAACTTAAGAGCCATCTCATTTTCGTTACCAATCGAGCCAGTTAAATAATGGTTCCTCATCGACTGCGGTTCTGACATCTGCTGCTTTTTCTAACCTTTCCTGCATGATTGCTGCTTTTTCTAACCTTTCCTGCATGACAAGTGCCCTTGCATGTCGTTCGAGCTAAGTGCAGCGAACCATTCTAGCATTAAAACCTATGGTGTACTCTGCCTCATCATAACCCTCAAAAACATACTCCATGAATTCACATGAAATCTCGTCATCGTTGAAGTCACAAAGTCAATCATCGAGTCCGACTTCCTGGAGTACTACCATATTTTACTAGCATGACCAACTTATTAATGCCACACTAGACCTCTCCGTGCTGGGCCAACAAATGACTACCCAACAGCTCAGTGTTAAAGGGACCCTTGAAAAAAAAACGATGCTGACTGCACAACTCGTAGTGACGCTCGCCAGAACTATTGCGAGCAGAAATGACGCCAGGAGATTCTGATTGGATAAATTTAGCGTCAAAATAGGGAATACTATTGGATTTCTTTTTTCTTTAGCATGATTTTTCTCTCAAAGTGAAAGAGAATAAACTCTGTGACTTTGGCAGCTTAAAAACTGCAAAGTTGTTAAATAAATTTGCCAAAGGCCACGGTGCTAGAAAAAACATGCCGGGGACACTCCAGGTGCCATTGTTCGAAGAAACTAAAGGAAAAAAAAAATGTGAGAGCATTGATATATTACTATTTTTATTTTTCTTTATCATACCTCAAAAGCCCCTAAAGAAAGGGGTTTTACATGAGGGGTGGGCATATCTACAACATCAGTTCTTCTATGACACCTTTGAACAGGGTTGGATTAGATCGAAGCATTGCTTTGGTGGGAAGGTCATTGCAGTCCCTTGATGTCAGATTGAAGAATGAGGATGCATGAGCGACAGTGCAAGTTCGAGGGGGGTATATGGTCTTATCGTGGTTGGTCTGGCTTGAGTGGCGATGTGTGGAAATGAGGTCGGCTTGGGGTGATTAGTAAAAGAACTCGTGAAAGAGAAAAAGGCGGGTGACTCAACGATGTGAAACAAGGCTGAAAAGGTTTGCTTTGAATTTGAGTTTTGATGAACTAGAGTTATAAGAATAGTCTGAAAAAATAAAACATACGGCATGGCTCTGCACTTATTCGACTATGGTAATATGGATATGTTGGTATGGGTCCCACAGAACACACACATGTTTGAGTTTCGGCCTGACTAAAGAGCAGTACCGTATATACTCGTGTAAGGGCCGCCCTCGTGTAAGGGCCGCACCCCAACTTTGAAAGCGGATATTTCGAAAAAAAAAAAAAACAAAAGTTCAAAATGTCCCGCCAGAAAAGTGTAGTTAGTTCATTTACAGCCAGATGGCGCTGCACGCTTTTCCGCTTTTATTCTACTTCCGCCGACGCGCCGACCACGCTGTTGACAGCGCGCCGCCATATTTGCCTTGTGCGGCCTCTTTGTTGGCATCGTTCCTAGCATCGTGTCGATACGTTGGCAGCGCGACTTCAGATCGGTGTCGTCGGTGTCACTTTGTTGGTTGTAGTGAACCCTGCAGAAGCCAGCGCACGTGACGGACGATGGGCCGGCATCTGAGATCATTCACTGCAGCATTTAAGCTGCAAGTGATTGACTATGCCGAGGAGCACGGGAAGCGGGAAGCTGGACGAAAGTACGACGTCGATGAGAAGCGCGTGCGTTAGTGGATGAATCAGAAAGATGCCCTCGCCGCTACTAACAGGAGCCGAAAGGCGTTTCGCGGGAAAAAGTGCAAGTACCCGCAACTCGAAAGCGAGCTCGTCAACTACGTCGTCGACACACGAAGGGACGGCTACGCCGTATCGACTGACATGATACGCGTCAAAGCCCTCAGCATCGCTCGCCACATGGAAATACCCCCGGCACAATTCAAGGCAAGTCGGGGCTGGGCTACGCGGTTTATGAACCGTAACCAGCTTTCTATTCGGCGCCGAACGACGATTTGCCAAAAACTGCCGCGCGAGTACGAAGACCACGTCATTAAGTTTCATCGCTTCGTGAATGCTCTCAGGAGGGAGCATGAATACGACCTGTCCCAAATTGGGAATGCGGACCAGACACCTGTGTGGTTCGATGCACCGGAAAGCACCACAGTGGATTTAAAAGGTGCGAAAAGTGTGTCTGTGCGCACGACTGGTGCAGAACGCCAAAGGTGCACTGTGATGTTGTGCATCACGGCAGACGGCAGGAGGCTTCCGCCGTACGTCGTATTTAAAAGGAAGACTCTCCCAAAAGAGAAGTTCCCTCAGGGAATCGTCGTACGTGCGCAAGAGAAGGGCTGGATGTCCGAGGAACTGGTCGTTGACTGGATTAAGACCGTCTGGGCAAACAGACCTGGAGGGCTGTTACAACGGAAAGCCCTCCTTGTTTTATTTATTTATTTATTTATTTAGGAGAATACTGCCAGTCTGAATGCCAGACTTTGGGCAGGGGTGGGCGGTACAATGAACACAAATGCAGGAAGTACAAAAAAAAAAAAAAAAATATTGAACAGATTATACAGTGGTACAAAAAAAAGGAACGCGTTGATTCACATAGAAAGGAAACTGGAAATGCAGTCCACAATTGCCGTGCCATACAAGGCTATACTGAAAACTGCACGAAAGTAGTGCTCAGCAGGTTTTGCTGTGTGAAAAAAAAAAAAAAAAAAAAAGTTCAAGTACAAGAATAGTCAGCAACAATTCAAAAAGTACATCCGGGCATGTTAGTTACAAGCGTGGCAAATTGTAAGGCAAATATTTTGTCTAAAATGGGCACAAGAACAAAGGCACTGTAAAGGAAATGGGAGTGTAGCTATCAGAAAGATGGAGCAGGTAACGCACGGAGAAATGATTTCAGATCGACACTTTCCAGAGCCTCTGGTGGCAATTTGTTCCACTCGTTGATTGCGCGGGGAAAAAAGG